AATAATAAATAATTGTTATTAATTTTCAAGATTATTTTCTAATTAAAATTACTTACCTTTATTTTCTTTCTTAGATAACCGTTCTGTATAATTAATGCAACAAGAAGCCTCATATGATTAATGTTTACAACTTATTTTCTTAAAAAAAAGTTATCAGATACCTAATCATCATTAATTTACTCTTTTTAAGGCTTTACTATTATTCTTTAAAAAAGAAAGCCTTTTATCCAAAATATAAGATATTTCTAATAAGGCTGAACTCATAATAGCGACCTAACAAAGTGGTAATCCTTTTGATTTAAAATATAAGATATTTTTAATTGTTTGATAAAGATTAGGAAAGTAGTTTACATTACTAAAATGGTAAAAACTTTACGTTTCTTTTCAAGATTACCTTCTAATTTTTTTACCAGCAGATTACTTTCTAATTAAAACCACTATATTTTACCTATTTTTAATTTTATGAAAAAAATAATTTATGCTATTATTTTTTACAAAATACTTTACATTTTAGACTAATATTCTAACACCAACTAATAAAAGGACTCAGCTTTGCTCCTCTGACTTCCCGCGCATCCGCAGCTCTACTGCATTTTAAAGAAAATCTGAACCGTCCAGATTATTAAATATTTAATTTTAATTTTATATTTATTAAAATAAAATTTTTTTAACAATTTTGAATAAATTTGATCACTCATTTAAACAGTTCAAATTTAATATAAATGGTATAAATTTAATATTAAAATTTTTTATAATTTTTATAAATTTTTAATATTAAAATCAAACATCCATATTAAAACTAAACTGTTCAGACTGGTTATCATATTTATTATTTTTTTTTTGTAAATTTGAATAATCCATATAAAACTTTGAACTGTTCAGACTGCTGATGACATTTATTAAATTTTTCTATAAATATGAACAATCCATATTAAACCTAAATTATTCAAATTGGGGATCAGATTTAAATATAGATCATGGATAAATTTGGATCATTTATATAAATTTTTTATTTTAATTAATATAAAATTAAAATTAAAATATTAAATCCGAACCGTCCAAATAAATCTAGACGGTCCAAATTTTCTTTAAAATGCAGCAGAGCTGCGGAGGCGCAGACGGTCAGAGGAGTGAAGCCGAGTCCCTAATAAAAAGTGTCGTTATTTTTGGACAAGAAGGAGAAGATTTCAATTGCTTATCGAAGTGGGGTCACATCTGCTGCAAGATTCATTGTAAAGGTCTCGTTTTGCGAGCTAGCATGTGCTTCTTAAGATGGGCGTGAATGCTTTGTCCTTTTTTCTTTAAGAACAATTTTGAATGAGAGAATAACACTTGAAGACCTTAGAAGACCTTAAATAACAACTAATGACCACAAATTCTAACAATTTTTAAAAAAGTACCAGAGTCGATGGTTAAAAAAAAAAAAAACTTTTTGAGTGAACATAAATGCCCCCGCCAAAAAAGTTTAAAATAACTAAGATCTTGTTTTTGTTATGGAATATTAGAATGGATTAGTTAGAGTGATTAGTGTTAATCACTTAATTGTTGTTAACCCTAAAATCTATATAAGGAACATCACACTTCACTAGAGGTTAAAGAGTTGTATTCCATCTCAAGATGGAGGTTAACAAAAATCCTCACCTCATGTTTAGTCCTCAGATGGGGTTTGTCCATCACCAAAATGGGTTGATTAATGTTGTTAATCTAGAATGTGTTCATTTTTTCTTCCATCAACATTTCTCAACAAGTTTTCTTATCACTTTTTGTTTCAAAAAACTATTTTGTAAATTAATTTTTTAAACAAAATAAAATGAAAATAATTTTAAATTAAAAAATAGTCGATAATAGCTAGTGGTAAGTGATTAATGGTGATTTACTATGATAATGGTTGCCTATAGCTGAAAATAATCTATAATAGATAAATTTTCAAGCAACTTGCTAAATTTTCCAAGTGATTGTTGAAATTTTCATTTTTAATGGAATATTTGTAAACTTCAAAGCCACCTTTGATTTTTTGATTTTTTTTTGTTGTATTCATCTATCATTTCTGTTTGTAAAGAACAAAAGAGAAAATGACAATTAGAAACCACATAAGAACATTAATAAAAATTACAGACATTGAATTATTAAAATTTCAATAACAAACCATAGTCCTTTACTTGCATTAATTTATCTTTTGTTACTTGGCTTGAAATTCACAACAAACTTTAATAAATTACTAACTAACACTACAAAAATTCTCATTTATCTTTCATTGATTTCCCAAACGATAGCAAAAAATCACAAATAATTGATTTGTGATTCACAGCTTTTATTGATTTGATACCTTATGTTTTCTTAAATTATTATATTAGTCCTTTAAATTTTGAAAAATAAATTTATTCTCAAATTAATCTAACGTGTAAAGTATTTTTAATAACTTGGCATGCATATATAGCTAAATAAGAACAAGTTAGCTCTCAAATCAGTTTAATTTTTATAAATCTAGTTTCCTACACTGCATTTTGTTCTTTTGTTTTTTCAAAAACATTATGAGTCTGGCTTCTTCTACCAAAATAATTATACTTATTTTTATTAATCTAGCTTCCTACACTGTGTTTTGTTCTTTTTTAAAAAAAAAATTATGAGTCTGGCTTTTTCTACCTAAATAATTGTACTTATTTTTATAAATCTACATGCCTACCATCAATATTTTGTTATCCATGTTAGCATATTTTAATATTGTTACCACATATTTAAATAATAAGGACTAAATTGATAACTGAGATAAATTTAAAGAATCAAATTAATAAAAATTAAACTTGATATACCAAATTGATAATTGAAGCAAACTTAAGATACTAAAAGTTTTATTATACCTAATTTTAATGATAATTTATTTTTAAGTTTTTTTGCATGCAATATTTTGTGTTAAATTTTGGAAGATGATCATTTGCAATTTCTTCTATTGTGGATTGTAAATTTAAGAACAAGAGTGACAAATCTATGCAAATTGATAAGTGAATTAACGAAACATGTTTTCAATGTTTAATGTTAAATTTTAAAATATTAGTTGCAAGCCATTATGTAGTCAATTCCTCCTTACAATCCAATTTATAAGTTACTTCTATGATATTTTATGAGACCCAAATAAAACCTTAAACCTTGATCATTAACTTAGTCTAAAAATTCAATAAGTTTTTAACTCTACCTTTATTAGATATACATACTTTAAAAATAAAATACCCCAATATTTAATAACCTTCCCAACATTTATATGGGCAAAAGGATAAAGATAAATATAAAAATATATGTGTGTCCTATAAATAGAAATAAAACAAAATAGTGAAAATACTCTCTCTATTCTATAAATAAAACTAGAGGAATATATATTTTGAAAGATGAGTCTCAAATAATCCCTGCAATTTTAGGAATTAATTTTTAAAAATTGTTTTTCAAAACATAACAAAACAAAAATCTGTTTGATTATATTAATTTAAAAATAATTTTAGAGTTTCAAAACACAAATAACAGTGCTCGACAATGATTAATGATTTTGGACAATGATAGAAATTAACCGCATTTGAAAATAATTTATAATAGCTAAATTTTTGGGTGAGTTGTCAATTTTTTTTCAAGTGATTTTTGAAACTTTCCTAAGCTACGCGTGACTTCTTTAGTTGTCATCATTATTTTAATTGAATCTTTGTAAATTTCCAAGATACCTTTGATTTTTTTTTTGTACTCCTCTATCATTTCTGTTTAAAAAAAAAACTCAAATCTAAATTTTTACACTGCCTTTATATTTTTGGGGCCAAAAGTACAAACTGATGCTAATAAAAAGCCGAAAAAATTCCAAAATACCATTTAAAGGTCCTTAAATGATCATAATAAAATGTGAAACTATATTATATTAGATCACGTACAATCAACTACGGTGGATGGTACAATGGCTGATGCCCACAAATTAGTCCATTAATTTAGACCTAATGTGGTCCAATACCCCTTGGGTCCAATCTTAAACCTATCCTAGGGTTCACTAGACCCAATGACCATATGTTAATCGCATTTTACTTGAGTTAACACTCAATTTATTAATTATTCTTAATTAGTGTAACTAACCTTAATGAAATTTTTGGGATATTACAACTCTCTATTCTTTAGAAATTTTGTCCAAATATATTATCAACCCATGGAACATTAAAATGGACCATTAGTGGACCACTAGATTAAAATATTATATTTTTTAAGAAAAATTACAAATAGATCCCATAGAGTAGACTTATTCACAAATAAGTCTTACGAAATTCAAAAATTACAGCCAAGTCTCTTAAGATCTAAGTGCAATTTGAAATTAGATTGCAAAGGCAATAATAGCCTAATTCAACATACGTTACATCAATTTAGAACTATTTTATTAGCAATTTACAACTATAATTTCATATATTCAATATTTAAACAATCGTGTGTTACTAACAAAATTTAACATTAACAATTACTTTATCAGTAATTTATAATTATAACTTCAATTTCTTACAACTATAACTTCACACATTCAATGGTTAAACTAATCAATTTATTTTAATTATTGGATATATAAAATTACAATTGTAAAAAATTAAAGTTGTAGTTATAAATTACAGATAAAATAGTTAAAAATTAATTATTTGATTGATGTAATATATGTTTAATAGGGGTATTATTATCTTTACAGCCTAATTTTAAATTGCACTTAGGTCCTAAGGGATCTTGTTTTTTAAATTTCATAGGACTTATTTATAAATAAGTCAGCTTTACAAGAACTATATGTTATTTTCCCATTTTTTTTTGTGTTGTTTAATTCAATCATGCATAACATATGTTCAATTTCCATTTGGCCTGTATGTAATCAATATTTTTTTCTTATCATGATCAAATTTCTATATAAACCCAAACCATCAACGAACGCCACTCAAGCTACGTGCAAATTGATCTCTCTTCTTATCTCTTGCGCTAAAAGTCTCAACCTTCTCTCCATTATAATGTCAAAACTAGCACTCTTGCTTTTGTTCCTCTTTGTATTCTCTGCATTTGCCAATGTTGAGGAAGATAGTAAACAAGGAAAAATAAGAGTCCTTGCCATTGATGGTGGCGGTATTCAAGGAATTGTCGCTGGAGTTATTCTTAAACAGCTTGAAGTTGCTCTTCAGGTATGCGCATACTTTGTGTGGTTCATGTATACATAGACATTTATTTAATATCTTATATTTTATTTGAATTTGGGTGAAATTCAGATAAGGGACCCAAGTGCAAGAATAGCAGAATATTTTGATGTGGTTGCTGGGACCAGCACTGGAGGGATTATAACTGCAATTCTCACTGCCCCTGACCCTCAAAACAAGGATCGTCCTCTCTATGCTGCTAATGAAATTGTCCAGTTCTACAGACAACATGGCCCTTCCATCTTCACTAAATCCACGGACTGGTATGTGTAAGCTTGCATGTCAAAGAATCTGATCTGAGATATGATATTAGTGGCTTAGATTTGAGCATTCGAGAACCCAAATAGAAATTATGTTTCACTGTTGAAAACTTTAGTTGTATAAGATGATGATTTCTTTAATTTGTGTTGAGATAGAGATTTACCCTGCAAGGTCTGAAGGCCGGCAACAAAAGAAATAGTAGTATGATAAGATTAGTGAGAAGAAATCATCAACCGAGTACCCCTACTTCTTGATTCATCCCTCCCTCCTTACTTTGCTTTCAGTATTTTGATGGTTCAATTTGAGATTCACCTAATGATTCATCCCTTTGATAATCACGCTGGAGTTTTTGGCCTAGTGATTAATCATATGAGAATCATTCCAACATTTGGTTTAGTGATTATTTATGATTCATGCATAAAAAAATCACCCTGAGTTTATACTCGTTTTCTTTGAAGCCTCTCTTTAACATACATTCTTCAAATCAAGCGATACAAGATTTTAGAAAACTTGAGCATCTTGAGTTTGAAGGGAGTGTTGAGATAGAAATTTATTCTGTTAATATATATGATCTATTAATATTTATTCTGTTGAGATTTAGGGAATATTTTTTTATTCATTAGATATTATTAGAATATTCATTAGTTATCATTAGGTTCATCAATATATTATAAGCCTTTCATATTAGAATAATCACTTTTTCTAGTCTCATTTTCTTCTCTTCTAACTTCTATCAACTTGTTTTCTTGTCAACAGCTCAATCCCTGGTTTCTGGTGTCCGAAGTTCAACGGGACGTATTTGCGAAATATAGTGACCGAGAAATTGGACGAAACGCTTCTAAACCAGACAACCACAAATGTTGTCATTTCTTCCTTCGACGTCAAGCTTCTGCAGCCAACTATATTCTCAAGCTTCAAGGTTTATATTACATGATTCTATAATTAATGAGAATTAACTCAGTCCAAAGAAAGACATGCCAGTAAAGTAAGTGTGTGTGTGTGATACAGATAAAGGATGTTCCTCACTTAAATGTCAAACTGTCGGACGTATGTATTGGAACCTCAGCAGCACCGAACGAGTTTCCACCCTATTATTTCGAATACAATAATACTGAATTCAATCTCGTTGATGGTGCACTCATCGCCAATGGGCCGGTAATTTTCGGGCCTGTTTTTAAGAGTTCATATAATCAATCCATTAACTAATTATCTAGTTCATGCTCGAGTGTTGTTTTCACTTTTAACTATATTATTATTTCAGGCGAGGCTTGCGATCAGTGAGGTTTCCCGGCAAGAAGAATACAAGAACAGAGAAATCATTTTGCTATCTATAGGAACTGGAGTTAAAAAATCCGAAGGTTTTGATGCTGATCATACTTGGAATGCCATAGATTGGTGGACAAGATTTCCAACTATTATTTCTGCAGCATCTTATTTCATGCATGATTATTACATTAACTCAACTTTGAAATATGAACCTCAGGAAAATTACCTTCGAATTCAGGTATTTATGCTAATTATTTATTTAACGCAGTTCCTTATAATTAATGGTATAACACTATTAACTTGATGAGGCAGGAATACAATTTAGATCAGAGTATTGAATCGGACGATGCTTCAGAAACAAACATGGATAAGCTCGAAGAGGTAGGACAGAAATTGTTGAACCAACCAGTTAAAAGGATGAATGTGGATACTTTTGTCCCTGAGGAAACTGGTGAAGGCACCAATGCTCAAGCTCTGGACAGGTACATACGTAACATGTCAAATAACTACAGGAAAATCACACATAAGGATCTCTGACAAATGTTATTTGCATATATGGATCAATATGGAATCGATTGTTGATAAAATGGTAACAAGGATTTGTTTGTCCTAAATGGTGACTTGTTATTAATCCTTGTATGCGAATAACATTGTTCAACAATCTTTGTGTGCAATTTTTCCAATAATTATTGTATTTTTTAACTTGAGACAAAAGTACATCTTTTGTCCTTTAACTTTATATAAGTTTTTAGCATTTGTCTTTTAATGTTATAAAGTATTGTTTCATTTCTTTAACCCTAATATTATTTGTCTCAAATGATGATTTTTTATGCTGATAATTGTTAAAGGACCAAAGGGAAACTTTATCCAAAGTTAAAGGAATGGAGATGCAATTTTATCTTCTTTTTTTTTTTTTGAAAGATTTAGCTTCTCGATGGAAACTAGTTATGTTTACAAATAAACGTGGGTCATATATAGTAATGTTTGATGTTGGGGCCATAAATTCTATAACCGACACTAATATTGCTATATATTGGTCTCTTAATTGAAATACATTTTTATTTTGTTAAAGAAAGGTAGTGTCGTACCTTAAAAAAGAAAGAAAGAAATAATAATTTTATGTTTTTACTGTGCTTACAATAACGATTTTTTATATGTTTTTACCTATGTAGGCTGGCTCAAATTCTCTACGAAGAAAAAATTCGTCGCCTTGGAAAGAGCGCAAAGAAAGTGAAGAAGGGATTCTTCACTCGTTTAGCCACTTATTGACTCTGTTGCAGAAATGCTATTCTGATAGCATTTTATATAATTATATTATGGGTATGTTGCCATTATTGACACTTCCATAAATAAAAAAGTGTGCTAAATAAATAAATGAAAATTAATCCTCTGCTTTGATGTCCTTGATGATGTTGTATGGTATGCTGGCTATGCATGAAGCACCAGCAAATAAATAAAAATTAAAGCTAGTGAGACATTGTGCGCTAGTGCTTTTTATTTCTCATTTCAACCGTTTTATAGTTTATTTTATTAAAGCTTTTATTTATTTTTATCCATGCCAACCATTACAAGTTCAAGAATAATGAAGGAGGACTATTATTTTTGTTATTTCAGTTCTCCAAATGAGTTTTTTTATTTATTGCATAAAGAGAACTAGGTTTCACTGACAGCATAAATTATCTCTCCAAAAATACTACTAATTAAAGGAAAATGATAGACCTTTATTAACTAAGTTGTTACATGTACAAGGATAAAATTCAAACCCCCAACCATTTAATTTATTTAAATGATAAGAGCCCCTATCACTTGCATTAACTTTAGTTTTGGTCCAAATATGAAATTTTTAAACGTATTTTTAAGCGACGATGACACGATCCAAAATCAAAGTCATGACCGGCCCAAAAGCTAAGGCATGACAATTATACTTAGCCTAACACACTTGATAGAGTCTCGATAATGCAAAAAAGTTTATTCCAAACAGCAGAGAAAATATATTTGCAAATCTTTATAGTTTTATTCAATTTTGAATTAGGTTTTTATAATTTATTTTATTTTGATCAATCCCTTATAATTTGATTTATTATATATGTTAACCTTTGAAAGTTAAAATTAATAATGAATTATTAAATTTCACTAAACAAAAATACTCTTGGAGTTTACAAAAAAATTAACTTAATGCTTTTAGCCAAAATAAAAAAAATTAATTAAATATACTGTTTATATTTTTATTATTTTTTTATGAAACATCTATATATATATATAGAAAACAACCTAATTGTATAAATTTTGGGTTATAAAAATTATGTAATTGATTCTAAAGTCATATAATCATTTAAAAAATATAAAACTTAATTTTATTTTTTTGGAAAAAGAAAATTTTAAGAATTTTAACTTTCAGGGATTAAAAAATTTAATTGATCAAATTATAAGAGTTCAATTAAAACAAAATAAAAATGTAAGGACCTAATTTAAAATTGAGTGAAACTAAGGATCCACAGTTATATTTTCCTTTAAACAAGGGATCAAGAATAATGACCCTTGATGAAGACCAATCCATGTAGGGACTATGATTCACCTACTGACATTTACCCACATTCGTCGGTTACTAAGAAAGTTTATTTCTTCTTTTTGAAATTATCAGTTATGTAACTACTTTTTACTAAGTTATGGTAATGTAGTTAAAAATGACTTATATATAGAATTAGAGGGAGTATTTATCAAATATTGACCTTTTTTAGCTTGTTTTATCTAGTTGTTCTCTTTTTGTTATCTCTGCATCATTTCTTCTCATTCCCATTCTCCTTTCTAATTCTTGCCATCTCATCCTCTCCTTTTGACATACCCCTTACAACATTAATGTTGCAACATTTGCGATAATTGAAAGATGTATACATATGTGCACGCGCGCAATTATCAATAACCTAAAGAGAAATCAAATTCATGAAAATTATGCAAAAAAAAAAAACTGGAAAACAATTAATAAAATGAGTAAAGGAGAAAATGTCTCATTCTCCAAATTCCCTAATAAGTGGTGATTATATGTTACTTTTAGACTCTATAGATGCACGGATCCTTGGAGCAGATACTCACAAGAGAATTGGGCAATAATTGATTCTTCAGTAAATTATGAAGTATAGTTTCACTTCCATCACCTTTAACCCATAGTGATGAGAGGGAAGTCAATCGTCGAAAACCTCGATCTTCAATTGGTACACAAGATACTCCCTCACAGTGATTAATTCCCAATTTTCTCAATTTAGAAGGCAAATCACATTGAGGCAATGATTCCAAATTCAGAAGCCTTATTATATCAAAATCTTGAAGGCTGGCAAGGGAATCAACGTGTGCTTCTGACATTGATCTAAGTTTTTGGCAACGTTCAACACAACAGTATTCTAAGGAAAAAGATGACCTCCAACATATGTAAATGTCTCCAAATTATGACAATTGCCAATGGAAAGATTGACCTATACGTGTCTGTCTATTATTTTGATTGATATGACTTGAACTTTAGTTATGGAAAGCTTAGATTTTTGCTTCTCCTATTTTCTAAAATTTGACCTAGATTAATAAATTATCTATTAAACTAAACGTGCGATTCAATAATAAAATGTTGCTTAGATTGTATGTTTTATAGGAAGTTGTGGTTAATATTTTAATGTACTTGATTTACAATGTTAAAGCTTGTTTTCTAGCAATTTATGAAATTTTCTTTTGCACTTTTCGAATCAGAGAATGATTTGAATGTCTTTATTAGAGAATTTTATGGCAAATTGATGTGTATTTTTTTTTTAATTGAGAGACTCTAGAACCTAGTTTGAAATCTCTTGAGGTATTTTAATCACTTTACTTGATCTTGAAAAATAATTTGGGGCATTCTTTTAAATGTGTTTGAACCTTTTAAGCCTAACTATTACATTATTTTTACTTGAACCCCTTCGGAGCCTTGAATTGAAAAAGCATGTAAATTTTCTTTTTGAAACTCACAATTGACCTTAACCTTCACAACTTAAAAAATCATGAATTACCTTACTTTTGAGATAAGTGATAAAGTATTATTGGTAATGAGGACTTGTATGGCCGTTAGGGGATGCTTTTTTTGTGCAAATTTGGAAGTGGGTAATGCAAATAATGCATGGATTACCACAAAGTGTACTCCTATGAAAGAAAAATGTTGCTAAAAAAAATATGTGTATAAAAAAATGAAAAAGAAGAAGAATAAGAAAGAAGAAGTTCCAATTTCAATAAATTTGGAGTGCAAGGCATAGTATTTGATAGGTTTGAGGGAAGGTATTTGGCTAACAAGGATAGATTAGATTGTTTTTCATTATCATTTATCTCAAGATCTTTGAATCCTATTTATCCTATTCTTTCAATTAAATTAAAACCTTTGGCCACACCATAAACTTACAAAGTCTCATTAATTTTGGATTGTGTGAAGTAATATTTTAGTGAAGAGAGAGGAAAAGTTTACGCATATGAGGTCTTGATATTGAACTTGTTTTATGCATGTTGAATTGCTGCATTTTGACTTGATAATTGTAGGAGAATCATTTTCTAGTCACACACATACACACTTTTAAATTATTGAAAAGTATGATCTTAATTTGTGAATCGAGCATTTCTCTATATTCCACTGATGTCTTCTTTGACATGCATTTTGAGCAACAAGTGATGAGGATACTTTCATACATGCTTAGGAGATGAATGATTGGCCAATCTAGCTATTTTACTGCTTGTTTTACTTAAGAATGAGTAAAAGTCCAAATTTGGTGTGTGTTAACTTCTAAGATTTCATGTCATTGGAATATATTTTTTGTGGATTCTAATATATTTTGGCTCAACTATACCTATTTTGATTGCCTAAATTAAAAAAATGTGCATTTTATCTTGGATTTGCACGTTTAGCTTTAATTTAATATTTTTGGGTTTAATTATATTATTTTGGTTTAAGGTTAAGCTAGAAACATGTCTGAACCCTTGATGATACTTTTGGAAGGCTTTTAGATGAATGAATCAAGTACAAAAAGGATAAATTTTTTTAATTGAGAAAACAGTGCAAAACACAATAAAGTCACCAAAAACTTGTTACGTTCTATAAGTGCACGGGTAATAGCAAGTAATATAACATAAGTAGAGTATCTGTAACATCCCGAAATTTTAAGACTCGGATTTATAAAAATAAAATAAAATAAAATATCTATAATTAAATTAAAATTTAGAATAATTTGATAGAGGTCTAGAGTTTGAATTTTTCTACGCAAAAGTTTAGTTTTATTTGATTTTTAACTATGGAAAAAATTATCAAAGTTGACCCGAGCTTTTGTGTAACAATAAAAAATGTTGGGCCATTTCTTGTAATTTTTCCCATACTTTTAGATCAGCTTTTATAAGGGAAAAGATACGCAGAAATGTAGAGAAAGGAAAGAAGAACAAAACGTAGAGAGAGAGAGAGAGAAGAGAGGAGAAAGGGAGGGAGTTAGGCTTGGATCTAGGAGTCTTTGCGACCGTTGCGAACTCGGCTACACGATAGGTAAACTCCCTACTTCAATCCTCTTCCCTTTCTCTTGATTTTCTTCAATTTTTGGAAGAGGAGATTTTTGGATTTTGATCCCAAAGGCTTTATTCTTGTAAGCTTTTATTTCTTTGGATCCTAGGGAGCATGTTTTGAGTTTCTATACAGTGATCTAATGTTTTGAGTGAATAATTAGATGAAAAGAGGTGTTTTGGGCACAAAATAAACCCTGAGAAATTGGGTTTTTGCTCCTCAATGGTTTAAGCCTATTGATTTAGTTATAATTTTGCTATTTGAGCCCAATAAGATTTAAATTAAGGTTTGGTTTTCATTATAAGGGCTAATGGTGAAAGTTGGTGGTATTAAGTAAAGATTTTTAATTGATTAAAAAATTATATAAATTGAAAATTAGCCTAATGATGGCTAATAAATGGTTTTGGTGATTAAGTGATACTATGTGAATGGTTGGTTTAATATATGGACCATTGGGATGGATTATGGCTCATAGACCCAAGTTGTGTGGTATGAGTTATAGTCTTCATTAATGCTATTTGTCATGATAAGTGATGTGGATCACTTATATGTTGTAGAAAATTGTTGGTGGAACTTATTGAGAAGTAAGGAACAAGCCGAGCCCTATTTTGTACAAGGGGAACCCTTTTGGTACCAAAGGGTTGAGGTAACAGAGGAATTTATATTTCTTATTACTTTGTTTTAGCTATTTTTGAATAAATATTACTAGTTATCATGCATTACATGTTTTAAAAGATTAAATGTGCTTTATAAGGGTTTATGGGGTACTACTTTGATTATAGTGCAAATATGTTTTCTAATTGTTTAATAACAATATTTTTATGAAAACGAGATTTATAAATATTATACT